ATGTGCGCTAATGAAGCTGCAGTGATGGGCACTGATAGGCTGCACTGATGGACACTGATAGGTGGCACTGGTAGGTGACACTGATGGGCATTGACAGGCATCACTGATGGGCACTGAATACAACTATGAAGCTAGTTTACCTCTCAACTTCAGGTCTAATCATCCTGCCTGCTGTGTGTGTCCCATCACAAAGAGACCTCCAGCTGGGTGACCAGGCCTTATATCCCCCCTCCTTTCTGTACTGTGGCTAATATAATGCTAATTAGACACTGAACCTAGCCAATGTATATTGGGCACAGCCTAATTGGAAGTTCAAAGAAGGCTGCTGTTTACCACTCATGTGAGATGTGCTAAGGGGACAACAAAAGGCCAGAACTTGTATAGTGGAAAACTCTATATACAGTATGTTTACACCAGTATGGAAGCTAGAAATAGTTTGATGCTGAACACTCAATGGTTTAAATACTGTATATTTCCATCTAACTAAAATATACTTGTAATTATAACATTATTTACATCCATTAATGGAGATTTCACATAAACTCATTATCTAACAGTGTTCTCCCGGCAGGGAAGGGTAGGTGGGCGCGGAGAGCCGTCCCTGAAAACACAGTGATTATTACTAACAGCTATAGCTGCTGGCAATAATTGCATGAAAAATCAGTCAGGCTGCTTGAACCCAAGTTGTACAACAAACAAATTTGGTACAATCAGCCTTCCCATAGATGGTTCAGATCTTGGCCGCTCCCTGCTGAACCAGCTGAAAACCATCTATGGATGACTTTAGAGTAAGGCTGACAGCTACACACCCAATGCTCAGTGATTAATCTCAGTCCCCAAATCACTAGATAAGGAATGACAATGTACTGTTACATGACTTTCACTGTCTCAACCTTTGACCACATGCTGCAGTCATCTCCATTGTTAACCAAATTCTTGCTTTAAAAATTTAAAAAAAGAAAAACAAACCGTTAAAAGCCAACTTTTGGGCTGCTGCTTTACATCAGCTAAACATAAATCCTATCTCCAGCCAAAATGTTTTGATGAGAAGCCCAGCAATATGGGTACAGACAGCAATAAAACCAACACTGACATAGATTCTAACCCTTCACTACACTATCCAAAATGAAGTGAAAAAAAATGTTTTGTATGTAGTTCGGCTTAAGAATATGTCAATATTTTATATTCGTCATATGTTCCTGTGATACCATGTACTTGTGTTAAACAGTATCCTGTTCTCTGTATTGCTTACATTGTGTGCAATACCTGGTTTTCCAGCCAGTCTGCTTGCTTTTTTATTTCAAACTGGCCAAGCTAGGCATGAGAGCACAACTAGCTAGTGTGGTCAGTTTTCTGGCTGTGCTGGGAACACAGCCTGCCTGTCTTCCAATGATCAGACTTGTGCTGAGACACCACCCCTGAAGAAGTCACATGGGCATGATGCAATGGGACATGGCAGGAGGCAGATGTGAACCGGAAGTGACGTACACGAAAGTGCAGTCTGTGCTTGTTTGCTCCATATGTGATTTTAATTGTGTTTTTACAAGTGTAAACATGTAAGTGCAATACTTTTAGTAAAATGTATTTATTGGAACATACTGCACTATTGGAGATCCCTCTGTTTCCTCTGCATGAGTGAAGGAAATTTGATCTCAACGACCCTTACAGGAACTGGTTTTGTAACCGGGTTCAGAGACCAGGAGAAAGGAAGGAGGGCCCCCTGTGGTTATAAAGTGGTGGAGGACCAGGAGAGTGGAGGAATCCCAGTTTATTCATCAGTATAAGCGCATTGTTATTTTTTAAGGTGAGAGTTCTGTGAGCACTGAGGTGGCACAACCTGAATGTATGCAGCACTTTAAGAGACGGTAATGGTTTAGCAAGCATGCAAGAAATGGGTTTCCATGGCTGAGCAGCTGCATCCAAGCCTTACATCACCAAGTGCAATGAAAATGTTGGATGCAGTGGTGTAAAGCACACCGCCACTGGACTCTAGAGCAGTGGAGATGTTCTCTGGAGTGACCAATTATGCTTCTCTGGCAATCCGATGGATGTGTCTGGGTTTGGCAGTTGCCAGGAGAATGTTACTTGCCTTACTGCATTGTGCCAAGTGTAAAGTTTGGTGGAAGAGGGATTATGGTGTGGGGTTGTTTTTCAGGGGTTGGGCTTGGCCAAGACCAATACCAAGACATTTTGGACAATTTCATGCTCCCAACTTTGTAGTGACAGTTTGTGGATGGCCCCTTCCTGTTCCAATATGACTGTGCACCAGTGCACAAAGCAAGGTCCATAAAGACATGGATGAGCGAGTTTGGGGTGGAGGAACTTGACTGGCCTGCACCTCAACCCCATAGAACACCTTTGGGATGAATTAGAGCAGAGACTGCGAGCCAGGCCTTCTTGTCTGACATCAGATCTCAAAATGCGCTTCTGGAAGAATGGTCAAACATTCCCATAGACACATTCCTAAACCTTGTGGACAACCTTCTCAGAAGAGTTGAAGCTGTTACAGCTGCAAAGGGTGGGCCAACTCAATATTGAACCCTACGGACTAAAACTGGGATACCATTAAAATTCATGTACGTGTAAGGGCAGGTGATCCTATTGGCAATATAGTGTGTGTGTGTGTGTGTATATATATATATATATAATTTATATGCAGACACTCATATACAGAGCTCTGAGGAATGGGACTTGTCCCCGAAACGCATCAATGAAGCGGACCATTTTGACAGTCGGAACACCCTGCCCTCTGTTGTGACCATCTTGATTTCCATACTATGCTTTACAAACATGCTATGTCTGTGAGTATGTTTTCATCTTTTTGACTTTTTAATAAAACTTGGATAATGCACTAGGTGTTTGCGCCACCTGTTTGCTCTTTTTCCTTTTTTCGGGTTTCACTAAGTCACCACAAGCTCAGATATTAAAGGGTGACAAATGTAAATTCTAAAATGGCACTGGGGACTGAAGTTGGTAATGGCATTCTACATTTTCAAAGGTAAAGTATTTTGTGGGTACAAGGACAGTGTCTAAACATGTGCAGTGTGTACTGTAAGTAGGCTCAGACTCTATTTAACCATACCCCTCTAAAGAATGCCCAATATGCTGCACTGCATGCCATGCTCAAATTTTGGTGATGAGCAGTGGGCTCCCCTTCTTTCTTTTCCCCTGTGGGCCTTGGAGTCCCAGTCCACCCGCCTCTAAATATGGAGAAATATCTTTAACAGGTAAATTATTCATACTTATTTATAGATGCTATTTTAGCTATGCTTTGTCTAAGCAGTATGCCTGTTTGCAAAAGGTCTAGTCTCTAGGTCTATCAATATATTGATAGCACTTAAGGTATTCTTAAATACTAACACAGAATCCTCAAACCTACTGGCAAGAAATAATAAAATACATCACTCATGAGACTGATTACTCCCTCATGCAAAATAGCTCAGCCTTATTATTCTCTGGAACACACTTGAAAAGGGATCACATGGCATTAAAATGTATTTAAAACACCAAATGTATAAAACTAAAGGCATTTTTCTTTGTCCAAAGAAAGTGAAATATCTTTTTTGATGAGAACGTACAAAATGCATCACCTTACAGCAACCTAGTGGATTTCAGGCTTATGCAGTTGTGAGATGGGGAAACAGCTCTCATTGTTTGAACACTGTTTGTGTGGAAGTAAATTAATGTTTTGACTAACATTCTGCGGTTTAGCCACAAGATGTCACTGTTTTTCTAACATGGCCTCAGACTGCATAGATATTTGTATATTCATGAAGAGGTGGGGTTTTGCACACAGAGTTGGAGAGAACAGGAAGGAGAGAGAGAAGCCATGTTTTGGAGCATGGTGAATAAGGGGCCCTGTGAGCTGAGAATCTGATGACATCCAGGTGTGAAAGCATCCCTCAGTAACTAGAGCTGCAGCTGAGTGAAGCTGATGAGATTGCTGCCAGGAAGCTGATGAGATTGCTGCCAGGAAGGCTGATGTGAGCAGAGGAACTAAACAACATATACGGCGAGACTGCATGTCTGTTGGAGAGAGATTTGTTCTGTTCAGAGTCACCAGCGGATGCAAAGCAGACCCAGGTCGGTAAGATCGTGCACGCACCTCATTTCAGTGTTGGCGCCTTGAGACTGAGTCCAGGCCTATAGTTAGTTAGTTAGGGTCTCTGTTCGTGTCAGGCCACAAGTGTTGTTACTGATTATTGACTCCACAACTTAAAGTGACATTTCACATTGGAGAGCTGATAAAATCCTACAAACTCAAGCCAGACTGGCGTTTTGCTCATAAGGAATACTCAGGCACGTGCTACAGGACCAGTTATGGGAGGGGGAATACTGTAGATTTGTGTAAGATTGTAAGCTGTTGTGCTGCACCGCAGGCTAGCCCATACCGTACACAAATTCACTGATTCCTGCTCTTTTAGGGTAATAGGTAAGGTGTGGCAGCTTAGTTGTGCCCGTCAGTAGGTAAATACTTCACTTTCTACCTTCATCCATCAGAAGGCGCCGTACTGTGCAGCACAAGGGTCTCAGCCTTTGGGCTGGGTGTATGTAAATTTATTGTATGTTCTCAGCATTTGTGGTTGTGTTTATTTGCCACATCTAAGTAAAATTCTGTTGTGGCAAAAGCTGGTGTTGGGGTTGCTTTCCTCGTTCGTGACTTCACTGTATCCTGGGGAGCCCACCCCGGTACACGGCTTACACAGTCATATTAGTAATGAGGTTTGGGTTGATTCACATCATTCACATCTCACAGCATGTGTTATTGTGCAAATAACGTGTGCCCTGGTGTGTACTTTGTGTGCTACTATGTGCTGCATTGTTAAATTGAATTGCAGTTTTTTTAATCTTTTTTTCAACTTCAATGTAATGCTATGTGCTGTGGTGCAAACTGAAGCAGCAGGATTTAAGGAAATGTCCTTGTTCGTGCTTTGGGACTGCAATGGCAATGCTGGTGCTGTGAATGAGCCCTTACTGATGTACAGTATGTTAAAGTGTTACTAAACCCACAACAGTAAAATCAGTCTGTATATGCAGTAAAGCATGCTTGTTATACTCACTGTAGAACCTAAGGGGTTAATCCTCTGCATTGTGTAAAAAGGCCGTTTGAGCTGACTACTGTGATCCTCCCCTTTTCCAGTGTCTCCTTCTTTATCGCCTGATAAGACATAATGTGTGGAGACACTCTGCACATGCTCAGTTTAGTGTGTATTACTAGAGGGTTTTTTTTTTCTGATGTGATCAGCACAGGGCCAATCATTACTGCCCAGACAGAGGTCAAGGTTCTGCATCCTCCTAGAGCAGAAAGAAAACTCCTTCTACAAGTGTTAACCAGTACTCTGCTGTACACTGATAGAAGTCACAAGACTGATCTAACTGCTGATGAGAAAAGGTATTTAGCAGTTTATATTTACTAAAATAATTTCATTTCTATGTTGTGTGTACTGTGGGAGACCGGATATAGTGAATGCAGGGTCCTGAGTTTAGTAACACTTTAAGTGAATGAGGTAAAATTGTGCTGGCATCAAATATTCAGTCACGCAAACAAGTGTAAGTAAAAATGTTGTCTTTGAATTTTCCTTGCATATGATCGTGTATTCTTTATAAATGTGATTTTTTCACCTAGGGCACTTTATAATGTGATTTTTCACCTAGGGCACTTTATAATGTGATTTTTCACCTAGGGCACTTTCACACTGAGCCCCTGCAAAAAAAAAAAAAATGCAGTTTGCTGCACTTGCGGTGCTTTTTTAAAGGACATGTGACTCAAAACTCATCTTGGGTGCATTTTTGTGGCGTTATTGATGCATTTTCCATTGATTCCAATGGGGAGGTGCGTTTTTGGTGCATTTTTTAAACTGAACAAACATGCTACAAAAATACTGCAAAGAGGATTTTTTATACCACAACGGAAGCGCAAAACACCCCAGCGTGATAACATACATAGAATTTAAAGGGAATTATTTTTCTTAAGCTTTTCTGGCGCTTTTTTTTTAACGCAAAGCACTTCAAAAACTCCTCAGTGTGAAAGCAGCCTTTGTAAATGAAGTGATGCTCAATTCTGGGAGGTCTGCAATTCCAGATAAATCTAATGATTAGCATGTCTATCTTGTGGAACCATTTCTTGGAATATTAATACAGAGGAGTTAAGGCAGCCATACCTCTTTTATAAGGTTACCCATTGCAACAGCAGTCAAAGGGAGCTGGGTTCATGTTTAGATTTCTCTTGAAACTTAAAACTCCTTCAAGCAAGTAGAGTAGATTATTTTTTATATAATTCTGGGGGGTCTACAGAAATAATCACAGAAGGAGCCAACAATCCTAATGAAAGGAAAAATAAACTCAAGAGGAAGGATGTAATATGTGATAGTGTACAGTCATTGGATGTGGTAGCTCCATTTGTTTTCTTTTTTTTTTAAAGAAAAAAAATTTTCAGCAAATACAGAAAATACCTGTTGATCTTGCCAGTGTCCTTGTCACTTCCTGTGAGCTGTCCTAAAAAATATCTTCTGTAAACTAACAATTGTCCTACCCCCATCCCTATGTAATGGAGATGATGACATAAATGTTTGTAGTTCATATCAAGATAGCATAGTTGTGAACATTTAAAAAAAAATTGTAGGGACTCTTTTTTACTGTATGTTGAGAAAGTCAGTGTAGGCTGAGCAACATGTAAATTAGGGTGGGGCTTTAATGTGGGTGTGGCTTAGGGAGAAAAATGGCATATGGCCAAAAAGTGGGTGTGGTTTAAATTATGCTGGATATTGGGTGTGACTTAAATGGGGTGTGGTTAAATAGAGTGAGATTTTCTTGGGCTCGCCTCATGCAATTTTGCTCTCCACCCAAGTCCCAAATAACAAACACACACATAGACTTATTTAAAAAAAAACTTTAATAATGTAAACATAAAGAACTGGTCCACACACAGTGATTGGTTGCTGGAGGTTACAGCACATCATTACCTCTTACTGATTGGTTGCTAGAGGCTACTGCAGTTAGCACAGGGGAGGGTCAGAGACTGCAGGTTTAGTATAGGGGTTGGTCAGAGACTGCAGGTGTAATACAGGAGAGCGTTTAGAGACTGTAGGCATAGTACAGGGCAAGACAATAGACAAGGCTGAGAAAAGTCCTTTCAGAGTGTTAAAGGCCACATTCTAGTCAAGACCTGATTGTAGGAATGTCAGAATGTGAGGCACAGAGTAACCTCTGGAATGGAAGCACCTGTGTTTACACCAGACAAAGAAGAATTTCCAGAAGACAGTAGACTGTTCTGAAAGTGGCTTTTTTTTTTCTTTTAGTAAGTCTCCATTAGTGTGGACGCAGCTATTACAGAGAGGACTCGGGCATTACCTGAGCTTTCTTACCTTTTTCACCATGTGAGTGCTTTTACATTGCGCAGGAGTTGGTCAGAGACTGCAGACATAGTACAGGAGATGGTCAGAGACTGCGTACATGGCGCAAGGGATGGTCAGAGACAGCGTACATGGAGCAAGGGATGAAGAGAAAGTGCGTACATGGCGCAGGGGGTGAACAGAGACTGCAGACATGGCACAAGAGATGGTCAGAGACTGCAGACACGGCACAAGAGATGGTCAGAGACTGCGTACATGGCGCAAGAGATGGTCAGAGACTGCGTACATGGCGCAAGAGATGTTTAGAGACTGCGTACATGGTGCAAGGCATGGTCAGAAACTGCAGCCATGGTACAAGAGATGGACAAAGACTGTGCACATGGCACAATGGATGAACAGAGACTGCGTACATGGCACAAGGGATGGACAGAGACAGCGTACATGGTGCAAGGGATGGTCAGAGACTGCAGACATGGCACAAGAGATGGACAGAGACTGCGTACATGGTGCAAGGGATGGACAGAGACTGCGTACATGGTGCAAGGGATGGTCAGAGACTGCAGACATGGCACAAGAGATGGACAGAGACTGCGTACATGGTGCAAGGGATGGTCAGAGACTGCAGACATGGCACAAGAGATGGACAGAGACTGCGTACATGGTGCAAGGGATGGACAGAGACTGCATACATGGTGCAAGGGATAGTCAGACTGTAGACATGGCACAAGGGATGAACAGAGACTGCATACATGGTGCAAGGGATGGTCAGAGACTGCGTACATGGAACAAGGGATGGACAGAGAATACATACATGGCACACGGGATGAACAGAGACTGTGTGCATGGTGCAAGGGATGGTCAAAGTCTGCAGACATGGTGCCTGAAATTTACAAACTCTCCTTAAACTTACAAACAGTTGGCAACCCTGCCAGGGTGGGTGGAAGCATTCAGACAGCAGCACAGATCCCTGTTTGATCCCTATGCCCCCTTCTCTATTCCCTATTAAGGCTATATTGAATTCCCTGAATATGTTTTGTTGTTGGACTTTACATGGAAACACTGGGGAAGAAAAGTTTACTGGGATATGAACGCTCTGTAAACTGATATAACATTCTCAGTGATTGCTTTCACATGGGCTTGAATCCTTTTTCTACAACATTTGTGTTTAGGTATGTACACTGTGATTTCTGATCTTCTCATATGGATCAGAATCCTGTTTTTGTAATATTTGTATTTATTCTAGCGCACTGTGTTTTTTGAGGGTGGTTTTAGCAGAATTTATTTAGTTTTATAAACAAGTGCGCTGTTTTTTTTCCTACACAATATTTGTATTAAAATGAATGTTACTGAAGCTGTGTTCGCTTTGAATAACCAATTATGCAAGAGATAAATGTAGAAAACAGCATTTTTCTCACAGATGATTGAGTAGTTAGAAAGAACACATCTTACATGCATACACTTTGCAAAGTGAGCAGGCACTGTGGTAAGTGAACATCCTCTAATCCATTAGCAAATAAACCCATTTGTGTAAACGGTGTATTCTTTATACAGAAATATCTTGCATTTCTGTAATTTAACTGTAAATGTACGATCAATTGTGACACACTTAAAAAATGATGGAGTTCTGTTCTGCACCATAAATACTACTACTGATTTGTGTCTCTGGGAAATGCAGCTGTTAAAATGGACACATTGAATTTCCTTCCAATACAAACAGCACTCCAATGTGTGTGACAGCTGTGTTTTATCTTATGTATTAATAAAAACACAGAGGTCACTGGTGGGGTGGATATGATCATTTGACTTCTTGGCTCATTGATCTAGATGGAACTAGATGAAAACCTGATTAAAAGAGTGACTATTAACATATGGGTTTACTAAAAAAGAAGTAGTGAACTAAAATGTGATTGCTGTTTCCTTGTACAGCTCTCTCAAAAACATGTAGGCCAATCATTTTCTGACGTGTGTTTGTGTGTATATATATATATATATATATATATATATATATATATAAAAAAACACGTGTAGTGCAACCACTTTAAATGTGCCACAAAGGTGTGTGTAGTGCCAGGACAAGGTCATCCAGTACCCAGGGTGAATATGCCAATCTGCGCCCCCCCCCCAAAGATGTATGAACATTATGTGTCAGCAAACTCCCCCCCAAAAAAATATAATAAAAAAATCAAGCATTAATTTGCATGCCTACTGCCTAAGCATAAATTCCCTTTGTAAGCCAAATTATCCCCAAACAAAAATCCCCCTCCAGTACAAATCCCCCCCCCCACTTAAATCCTCCTCCCAGCATCAATCTTTGCCACCATGTCCTCCCTCCCAGCTCAAATACTCTCTTCTTAAATCTCCCCTCCTAGCATATATCTCCCTACCCCTCCCAATCGTACCTACTATGCAAACTTAACTGCGCTAAGCTAACAGGAGTGGTGATGCCACTGCTGGGTGACACTGCAGGGCACAGGTAGGTGGCACTGATGGGTACAGGTGGGCGGCACTGATGGGCACAGGTGGGCAGCACTGCTGGGCACTGATCATTAGGGCACTGATCATCAGTGCCCTGATGATCAGTGCCGATCACTTCTCTGATCAGTGTGAGGAAAGTGCAGTGTGAGGAAAGTGCAGCCGATAACCCCATTGGACACAGCTGATCACGTGGTAACAGGTAAAAAACGTGAATTAGCCAGGAAATTTTATCTTGAAATAAAGAGAAAGGAGGATTGGGTGTCCCAGATTTAAAAAGATATTATAACTCGGTAATAATGGCGAAAATTTGACTGGTCATATAATGCAGAGGGGAAAAGCTGGGTTCAAATAGAAAATATACTAAGTAATACTAAATTAAGTGGAATTGTATGGTTACCTCCACAATACAGAGGATTAGCAGACAGTACAAGTTTGTTCACATTTAATGTTTTAAGAGTTTGGGATGTTTTACGCCAACAGATGGGATGGGAATTTAATTAATTGTTAATGCCCTTAAAGTCCACAGAGTTTTTCCCCCCGGGTAAAGAAGGGAAGTGGATTAAGAACGAAGATGCACAATTAAGGGATATAATGGTGGGGGAGGAAACAGGATCACTTAAGGAATTGGAAAAAAAAGAAGTATTTACGAGAATGGAGGAGTGGCGTTATTTTCAATTGAAACACTTTGTAGGAAAGCTTCCAAAGCCTTTAAGAATAAGAGAGGATTGGAATCCTTTTGAGCACTTGTTAGGTACATGGGGAGATGGGAAACACGGAACCTCTAAAATATATAAGATTCTCACTTAAATAAACGCAGATATAAGTCCTCCATATATAGAAAAATGGGAAAGAGAAATAGGAGTTACAACAGATGCGGAAAAACACAGGAAAATGTATAGAATAATCTACGGAAATATAAATATGCAGGAGGTAGAAATGAATTATAAGTGTTTGGCAAGATGGTATATCACACCGAGTGTGGCACATAGATTGAGTGGAGATAATTCACCGTAAACTTGATTCAGAAAATTACAGAGGTTGATATTCTAGTAGACCCAGAGATTTGCCTTAAGCATAGTACTAAGCTTTCAGTTAAAAAATACAAAGAATCTGGTTTATTGTACTATTTGAATGCAGCAAAGGGACTGATACCCAAGTATTGGAGGAGACAGGAGGTGCCGAAAATAAAAGACTGGGTGGATCAAATATGTAAATTGGAGGAACTTTATAATTTGAATGAAGATAAGATGGAGAGTCACCATACAGGATGGAACAAATGGGAGGAATTCAAAAAGTCAAGGCTAGCCTTAGAGGTTATGGGGAATTAACATAGAATAATATGGAAACATATTTTGTTCTTTTATAGGGATTACGATCTCCAGAAATGAACAGGAAAAAGCAGAGCAGAAGGGGACAGGGATTGAATGGGGGAGGGGGATGGGGATGGGTGGTAAATAGGTAGGGGGGGGTAAAGGGATGAAACGATAAATGTTTTGATAATAAGCTAATGTTTTAATGAGTATGTTTGTATAATTTGTTTATCTGAAAAATTTATAAATATTTAAATTTAAAAAAAAAATTCAAGTCCTTAGCTACTAGCCAGGCCTTAAGAGTTACTCGTCACCAACAAACACACACACACACACACACACACACACACACACATGTACATACACATACACACACAGAAAAATGTACACACACATATACAGACACATGTACACACAGACACATGTATGTACATACACACAAACACATGTACATGCACACACACAGAGACACATGTACACACACACATACATGTACATACACGCAGACACATGTACAGATAAACAAATGTACATACACACAGACACACACAAACAAACACACACCTATAAAATGCTCCAGTACTTCGTTGTTCACTCACAGAGCCGGGTACTGCACTCTAGGGGAAGGCAGAGAGCACAGCACACACTCCTTCCTTTGCTTTCACTGCGCTCAACTATTGAGCAGTCTGACGGCTCCAAGTGCCAATGACAGATCCGGCCTGAGCTCCGAGCCTGCTCAGCAAGATGTCCCTGGAGGACACACTCGCCCCACCATAATTTTCACTCGCCATTGGTGAGCAGGCGAGTGTGGAAATTTCAAGGCCTGATTTAATCCATTTGTAGTGGCTTCCAGGCAGGTTGATGAATTACAGGTCTACTGTATGTGTTAAAAAATACAGATATTTCAGGTCACTGTACCGAAGATACAGAAGGTAACACTTTAGTGAAAATATTTGGAATAGTATTAAAGTGTTACTAAACCCACAACAGTAAAATCAGTCTGTATATGCAGTAAAACATGCTTGTTATACTCACTGTGGAATCTAAGGGGTTAATCACCTGCATTGTGTAAAAAAGGCTGTTTGTTCCTGTCTTCTCTGATCCTCCCCTTCTTCCACAGTCCCCAATCCATCTGCCGATAGAACAGAGCCTTAGAGACAAGCTGCACATGGTCAATTTGGTGTGTATGGCTAGAGAGTTTTTTTTACTTGGGAGAGTGCATGTGATCAGCGCAGGGCCTATCAGCGCTGTCCAGACAGAGGGTCAGGGATTTCAGATCCTCATAGAGCAGAAAGAAAACAAGCTTTAACCAGTGCTCTGCTGAGCACTGATAGAAATCACAAGACTGCTCTAACTGCTGATGAGAAAAGGTATTTAGCAGTTTATATTTACTAAAATAATTGCATTTCCATGTTGTGTGTACTGTTGGAGACCAGATATAGTGAATGCAGGGTCCTGGGTTTAGTAACATTTTAATTATAAAAAAACATGTTATGCACTAAAACTAAATGCTGCATTTAATTGTATTGTGTCCATTTCTGTGGCCTAGGGCTCTTGTACACAGTTGAAATTACAGCATATTGGTATACATAGTAAAATATGGCTGTAGTTGTGGCACCCAGGCCATTACAGAAAACATAGTGCATGTCCACACATACACACACGTACCTATTGGTGCTGACACTACACCCATATTTTACTCCGTACACCAATATGCAGTAAATTATGGCATTGAGGAAGAGTCCTTATTTTATTTTTTAAAACAAATCTAAGTATGATTGGAAATAAACCCGTTGTTGGAGCAGCAGAAATAACTATGTAACCACACCAAATGGTTCACACTTTAAAAAACAAAATATTTTCTGCACTCCTTTCTGCAACTTTAATGACTGATGCACATTGTATGCTCATCAATGAATACTTTTCAACCTTAAAGTATAATTAAAGGCAAAACTTTTTTTATCATTTTTGCACAGATGGAGAGGGATTAGAACATCTGTCAGGTTTTTATTGCTGTCTGTGCCACCATTACCCCTGGTTTACATATGTGCGCGGGCATGAGAGCCCATTCATTTGAATGGACTCCCATGCCACGGGACACACAGGGAAGAAGTCCCTGCACTACATGGGAAATCGCAGCCCGCATGGGAACCAAGGTTCCCAGTACGGTTGCGATTTCCAGTGTGGGTGGCATGCCATTAGAATAAATGACACCCCTCTGCGGGTTCGGCATTCCTCTGTGTGGATGGTGCGGCTGCAGGTATTTGTGCGGGTCCCGCAGCAGCACCACCACACAGATGTGAACCAAGCCTTAAGGATAATTCACCCACTGTCTGTCCTGTTTATTGTTATCATCAAAAGTGAAAGTATAAAAGAAAAAATTCCAAATTTTGGGTTCTCCCCACTACAGTAATAGAAGGGAAATCCTCCAACGGAGACACTTAGTCTGCTGACCTTGGTGGCAACCAGAGATTCCCTTACTTTGGAGGGATTATCTCTCACTTCCTGTTTTGGCTATGATACAGGAAGTGAAGGGAAATATCCCCAATGGGACACACATGGCAATAAAAAATCTGACAGGGGTTATACCTTCCATTACTTTATCCAAAATGAAAAAAATGTTTGCCATTAGTGCTACTTTGAAGGGTTAAGGGTTAGCTTGCCTTTACCAACAACTGCCTATGCTGATAAGGGGCATCTGTAGATAAAAACAAGCTGAGTAGCATTGATCAGAGTTGAATAGAGCACTTGCTATAGGTGTCATGGCATTTAGGTGCCTCATGAAGCCTGAATGGAAAACTTCTAGGATGCTGCGGATGACATTGCTAGAAGACACCTTGCTTCTGTGATGGTGAAGGTGCACAGTAACAGCTAGGCCTTTCTTAGCAATGTCCTAGAAGTTTTCCAGTCAGGCTGCGTGAAGTATGTAAATGGCCTACATTTATAGCAAACGTATTATTCAACTTTGGTCAAAGCTGCACAGTTTGTTTATATCTACAAACTCCCCTAATCTCCATAGACATTTGTTTGGTAAAGGTGAACTATGCCTCTAAATATTCATACAAGATATAAATCTGAGGATGACACCCAAGAACACTTAGTAAATCAGGTTCCCACAGCCTAAACCCAAACCGTTGAGAAATAGAAACTAAAAGGACAAATTCTTCTATTGAAAACATCTAATAAAATGTTCTCTAGACACCTAAACATCCCCGACAGATGACTATTGGGCTCCATGCACACTTTGCGGTTTAATAACGCTGGTAGCACTAGCTATGTAGAGTCGGGTTAAAAAGCGAGCTATTCAGCTTTTTTGCATCAGCGTTTAGCTGTGTTCAGGGTGGATTTGATTTAAATCAAACTGATTTAAATCGCGATTTAAATCACTAGTCAGGCTTGATTTAAATCCTAGTTTTCTACATAAAGACTAATTCTTGCTGGTATAACTTTAATATGCAAGTTAGTTAAGATTTTTAGAATAACAACTTTTCATATTAGTTTTTTTATCCCCAGTTTAATAGGTTAATCATTCGTATTTGGACAACTTTTCTGTTGTACTTAGGAAGGAGAAAAATAATCATTACCTTAATAATAACAATTTAAATAGATTTATTCAACTGAAACAATCACATTACAGCATATGTTATTTGCTTAAACAAACATCCATGTTTGTTAACTAATTTGGCAAAACAAAATATATATATTTTAAGAAACTTAGACTGTCAGCCCCTTCCTCCTCACACTTCTTCTTGTGCAGATCTATTCCACTCCAAACAATCAGAAAAATATTGTTTCTCTTTTATTCACTGAACTTCTTGAAACTTAGCACTGAAGGGGTTGATTCTGTATTCATAGGTTTGTAGAAGTTAGGATGAAGGTTTTTTTCTTAACTCTGTTCATGTTATAACATTTTTGCTGTGAAGAAGAGGCATGTGATCTCCGCTGAGTCAAATTCAGTTTTGAGAACTGCAAAAGTAAACCAAGCATCTGTGATAATATCTTGTAGGCAGAGAAACTGCCCAATAATCTTACAAAAACCTCTGGAAGAGCATGACATTGTGAATGGATTAATGGAATTTATTTACCAAAAAAATTATGCCTTATTCTGCATAATTAAAAAACTAATCTTTATTTCATGATGGAATAACCTTTGGATGGTAATATATTTTCCTCAAAAAGCATTTTATTTAAAAAAAGCTGATTTAAATAAAAAAAATCCGATTTAAATAAAAAAAAAAATCCGATTTTTTTTTTTTTTTTTTTTTTTTTTTTTAAAAATCATTGATTTTTCCCACCCTGGCTGCATTTTTCCATGTTTGCGGTTTTTAGCGTTTTTTTTTACACACAAAAATTTTTTGCTAAAAAAAGCCCCAAAACACCAGTTTACCACATTTTATCGCGTTTTTCAGCGCTAGAGTGTTTTTACAGCTAAAAAACTCCTCTAGAAACCCACTAGTCCTGTTTTTTTCCCAGCCAAAAACCACTGATTAAAGTCTATGTGTGCATGGACACATAGGATAACATGCTGGGGAGTTTAATGGCTGTAGAAAAAAATACCAAAAGTCAAAAACAGCAGCTGTAAAAACGTCCAGTGTGCATGAGGAAGCAAGCGTATTGCTGAAACTGTAAAATGTTACAGTGCTGCTATAAGGTGCTCCACTAGATGGCAATGCCGGACAAGTTTTTCTATGACTTACATTACCGCAGTTACAAATCTGAGGTCACTTTTTCTGTAATGGCGTGTGATTTTGAAGCCATTAACTAGCACATTTTCTAATCTCGTTAGTGTAGTGCAAATGATCATGTGCCTTATGGGAAACCATACATCTGGTTTATTCTTAAAATTATCTTCAATAAGAAGCAGTCAGGTATTCAAAGACCTGTAGAGGTTCCAGTGTTTAGTGTGCAGGCATAGCCCTCTCTATCTTTATTTGCTTTTCTCAGAAAGCGTAGAGAACCAGTCATATTTACAGTAACCTGCAGATTACGTGGGGCCTGTGTACTCATGCATATTCTAATTCATCTCCATTAACTTCAACAATACAGTCGTGGCGAGAAATATTGGCACCCCTGCATTTCTGTCAGAAAATGTACCACTTTGCCTAGAAAATTGTTGCAAATACAAATGTTTAGGCATTCTCACGTTTATTTATTTTGTTTGTATTGGTATGACTCAAAGAAGTGGAGAAACAAAAGGCCAAATCTGACACAAACCCCCAAAAATGGATTGGACAAAATTATTGGCACCCTCAATTTAATATTTGGTAGCACACCCCTTGGAGAAAATAACTGAAATCAATCACTTCCTGTAACCATGACTGAATTTATTACACCTCTCTACTGGAATTTTATTACACCTCTCTACTGCTGTTTTGAGATCTGTCCACAGGTGCTCTATGGGATTGAGATCTGGACTCTCAGTTGATCAGGATCTCAATCCCATAGAGCATCTGTGGAAAGATCTCAAAACAGCAGTAGGGCAAAGGAACCCTTCCAATCTGAGAGATCTGGAGCAGTTGGCAAAAGAAGTGTGGTCCAAAATTCCAATGGAGAGGCCTTTTGTCTTGACTGTGTGCAGTGTCAGAAATATGGTCAGTTCAGTACTCTCCAGCGCTTTGTCTGAAACCATTGCTGGGTGCTTTTTGACGTGTACTTTGGGTCATTGTCCTGCTGTAAGACCCATGACCTCTGACAGAGACCCAACTTTCCGACATTGAGCCCTACATTGCACCCCAGAATTCTTTAGTAGTCTTCAGATTTCATAATGCCATGCAAACGGTCAAGACATGCCTGAAGGGACTGTATTCTTTTCTGAAAAGGTCTCATTTCTTTTTCTGAAAACAGTAGAAAGATGGGCTTTGCCAAAAAGCTGTAATTTTGTTTAGTCCGTCCACAGCACATTTTCCCAAAAATTTTTTGGCTTCCTCAGGTAAGTTTTGGCAAGCTCCAATCTGGCTTTTTCATGTTTCTGTGTCAGCAGTGGGGTCCTCCTGGGTCTCCTACCATAGCGTCCCTTTTTATTCAGATGGCGACGTATAGTGAGAGCTGCCTGAAGGTCAGTTTGAATTTGTCTGGAAGTTGATGGAGGTTCTTTAGCCACCATTCAAACAAACCTTTGTTGCAATATTTGATCAAGAATTTCTCTTTTATCCAGGGAGATTAGCTACAGTGCCATGGGTTGTAAACTTCTTGACAATGTTGCGCACAGTGGACACAGGAACATTAAGATCTGTTAATTGATACAAGTGAGTTTAATTACAAATTACAGGAGCATCACAAA